AGATTTCTCTAAGCACGGCACAAAAACCAGAAACCATAAAGGGAAAAAGACCAACAGGTGTGACTAGATAAAAATTACAAACTGTATGCCAAAATACGAATGAGATAAAGTGGAGTAGTAACTGCAATTAAGATGACAAACAGAAGGGTAATACCCTCAGGACATAGAGAGTCCTCACAAATCATTTTTTAAAAAATCAACCCATAAACAGAAAAAATGGGCACAGAACACAAACTGGCAATTCACATATTTAAGAAAATACAAATGAACAGTAACATAAAGAAAGATGTTCAACTTCACAAACAATTTTTTAAAAGGCAAGTCAACATGTTAGATATTTATTTAATGTCTACTACCTAGAAAAAAATTAAAAAGTCAGATATGGTACCGGCTAGGACACGTACGTAAGTTAAGATTATCAGGAGTATGAATTAGAAAAGGAATCTTGCCATGTAAATCAAAATGTAGAATGTACATATACCCTTTTGACCTAGTAATCCTGTTTCTATGAAAATGTTGACAATATAAAAATTTTAACCTTCTATATGATAAAATCAAACAAAGCCTATCANAAAAGTGATGGGGTACATTTGATGTGAAAAGTTATTTACAACATATTGCTCTAATTTTTTTTTAAAAAGGCAGATTTTATGTAGAACAAAATCTCCTTTTTTTAAAATAGAAAGCAGTCTAGAAAAAAGATATATCACAAATTATTAACCATGATTTTTGTTTGGTCATGAGATTAGAGGTGATTTTTATTTTCTTCTTTTACTAATGTGGATCTTCATTTATTTTCTACTATGAAAATCCACTACTTACATCATTTTTAAAAACCATTTATTCAGCTTCCAAATTAGGTATGCAAATGACTGGCATGCACCACCAAGCTTCCAGTGCTATCTATGGCAGACAGTGCTAATCAATGACAATATTATTTCTTTTTGTGCCTAGACTCAGACTCAGAATCCTTCTCAACACAGCATTCCCAACAGCCACTACCAACTGTACAGGACGGGCAGGTAAGATGAACCCTAAACAGCATCCGTAGCATAGACTGGTCAAGGCAAGGAAAGATGTTTTGAGTGGAGAGTGATTCAAGAAAGGATACTTTATGGAAGAACGTGCCCTTCCAATGCTATAGCCACAGAGCATGGTTCATACTCCTGACCCTGCTGGTTCCTGGTCACCACTCTACAAAGACACAAGCTCCTTCTGAAAACCACAACCATGATCTCTGAATGAATAAAGAAATCATCACAGCTCCCAAATACAAACTCAACCCCTGCTTACCTGATGGGAATGATGTTGGAAAACAGGAGGAGGAAGCGGATGATCTGCAGGTACCAACGACCCGCGAAGTGCTGAAGGGCAACCATGACCAGCGAGACCACCACCAAAGCGCCAAAGAGGATCTTGGTGAGGCAGTTCACTTCCAGGTCAAAGAGGCCAATCTGTGGCACCAAGCACAAGGGGCAGCTTGAGACTACTGGGTACAGCCCACAGCCTACCTGGCAAGCTGGTCCTTCACCCATGAACACCTCCACCCTAGGTGAGACAATGGAATCCACCGATCCTCCTGTCTCTGGTCTGAGAAGACTAGGCACTGTAGGCTGGAGTTCAGATCAGACATTGAAGGGACCTCAAGGAATTCTGATTTCCAAGTTTCTTGGTAACTTAAGAAGATTTAGACTTAAAAACACATGAGCAATTTTCTGCTGCGGCGGGTTGCACTGTGTGCTGCCTAGCCCCTAGCACCCTACACTGTGGCCCCATAAAATGACTCAGCTCCTACACTCTCACCATGGTGTCACACACTAATTCACCACTGCCAAAAGTTGGGGGCACATACCACTGGTGGCACCTGATTTTTAGGTGCTGTATTAACGAATATTGTTATCTTAATAATTATATATTTATTGTCACATGTAGTACAAAAAAATGTAACTAGCACATCAAATCCATAATGCCACAGAAATACAGCCCAGGATAGGGCTAAAGCATCAAATAAATGACGTTATTGTTGTAATGATGGTTGTGACAGTGTGGCCAATAGAACAAAGTTTGGGAAACAGTATTCCTTCATGCTACTGACAAAGGACATCATTCTGCAATGTTCCAACCCTTAAAAATTGAGGAGGTAGGGCTGGGAGGGAGGGTCTTGATGGGAAACGAGCGATGATGGGGGCATCAGACCACAGCTACAACCCCACAGCCAGGCCCCAGCCCATCACTCAACCATTCCTTCATGCTACTGACAAAGGACATCATTCTGCAATGTTCCAACCCTTAAAAATTGAGGAGGTAGGGCTGGGAGAAAGGGTCTTGATGGGAAACGAGTGATGATGGGGGCATCAGACCACAGCTACAACCCCACAGCCAGGCCCCAGCCCATCACTCAACATGGGTTTGGGTCCTGCGGGCCAGTCCCTCCTGCTGCACGGCCTGGGCAGAGCATGCCTTGCCTGTAAGGTGAGGAAGGGTGCCAAAGCACCTGCACTCCAGGGCTGCTGCGAGCATCAGGTAAGACACAGGTGAAGGATATAACACCACCTGGCAAGTAGCACGCACTCGGTCGTTTGTTCTAACGTTTGAAAAAGCTTTTAAAGTTTCATGTATTCATGTACACGTGAGTACAAATTTACATATTGTACTATGTATGTGTGTATATGTATATGTGTGTGTGTATACACACATGAGGGCACTTCGAAAAAGTCATGGAAAGACTCATTATTTTTTAGCTCCTTTTTTCCACAAACTTTGTGAAGTACCCTTGTATATGCATGAAAAGATAGTATGTTTGTATAAATGAAATACCACTGTTCGGGGTTTCTGTTCTAAATCTAGTTGCTGACCGCACCAACATGGGTCATCAATAGACATGGGATCAACACATCCCACGACCTCTTACACACCTTACTTCGGGGATTTGAGGTATTCATGACGCTCCGGAGTTCTCTGCCGGTATAGAGAACGACACCCACCACAGTACCTGAAATGAGAAAACAAAACCCAAAGAAATATAGAGACTTACAAAGAAATATTAAGTAGGGCTTGCAAGTAGAAGAGTCTGGCCTGCTTGAGAGAGTGTTTGCTAAATCCAACAGCCACACCAGAATGTCAGAAATTCTACATTGGGGCCAATGATCTATGGCTACGCTGACCAGCAGGACAGACACAAGCCACATGCAACTATTTAAGTTCCATTAAAATTAAATACAGTTCCCCACTCTTACTAGTCACATTTGAAGTATTCAATAGCTACACAGGCTACTGACTGCCTCAGGGGACAGCGAAGATATACGGCATCCGGTCTATGGGGTCCAGCAGGCTCTACTAGCAGGAGAGTCGGGGGAAAAGTGGTTTGTCCTTTGCACCCCTGGCTTTAGAGGCTTCCAGCAGTGCCCAGAACATTCCTATCTTCATAAACTATTATGGAAACTTCTAAATACACCCTTCTTTTTAGAGCACATTCTTCCTAGTGAGTCTGATTCCTTTCAGATTCTGTGCCTAACTTGACCAGATGACACCCCTTTATTGAAAGCTTCCCCACCCTCTCCCATCCTCCAGGCACAATAAGGAAAGGCATCAATTCTTCTAAAAATAAACAATTTACAGAAGAAATACAAACGGCCAGTTAACATTAGAAAAGATGCTCAATACAGTGAATAATCAAAGAAATGCAAAATAAAAGTCTATCCGCATTAGATTGGCAAAAAGTCAGAGGACTGACAACATCCATTGTTAGCCACGAGGCAGGGAAATGGGTCTTATCACACACTCCACTGGCTGAAATGTATATTGGTACAATCTATTTGGGGGAAAATTCGGCAATATCTATCAAAAATGTGCCTGTCTCTACTTTTCAGTGTATGCCAAGAAAACGTTCAATACAGTAGGGAAGACAGACAATAAAGAAGGAAACCAAGAAACAAGACCGGCAGGGCAAGTGGGCGGGGCTCAGACAAAATGCAGGCAGAGGGACAGATGAGACAGGGAGGTAGGAGGGAGGACACAGCTCGGCTCGTACTGGGCAGTCAGAGAAGCTTCTGAGTTGACGACATCTGAGCTGACACCTGAAACATGAGAAGGGGCCAGCCCTGCCGCGCTCTCAGGGAAAGTCCAGGAACACAAACATTTCAGTCTCTGCTGGGAAGAGAAGACACCTACCCTTTGCTCCTGTCCCCCCTCACTCTCAGGGATGGCACCATCAGTGGGAGACACCAACACTCAAAGAGCTTCCAACACCTCTGCAGTAAAAAAAAAAAAAACCCAACCCTAATGCAGTGCTGTGACTATGTCTCTGGACAAAGAGCCCTAGGAGGAGCCGCCGAAGTCCCTCTCAAGTTTAATGCTAACGGTGTTCTCCTGCTTAAGGTGGGCCCCTGCCAGGGCAGCACTCGGCAGATGGCAGGCTCCTGTGAAAGCAGGCGGCCCCTGTCGCTGTAGCAGATGGCCGGACAGTGGGAATCGAGCTTGGGCTGAGCTCGGGTGGACACACGGCCACTGTATCCACTCCCGAGCAGACACAGCTCAGCTTCGGTCCCTGATGCCCAGGTTAGAGTGGGCTGTAATAACAAGGGGTGTGTATCCCACATGGGCCCAGCCCACCCTGATGCCATCGAATGCTGCTAAAAATGGCCCTTCCCACCCAACACCTACCTGTGCTCAGGACCAAAGCTCTGCCTCCAGGAGAACCAAACCCTGAACCCATCCTGAGCGTGGCTACCACTCCAAGAGAAAGCACACCCCGCAGCCCACGTGTGCTCATCGGCTTGGTCTGCACCATGTTCCCAAGGTTTTGAATTGGTTGCCAACTTTTAAATTCAGGAGCTTTCATATAAAAAAAAAATCTGACATCTCTGGCTTCTCCTGGAAAAGTGGAGGATCCAGTGACACCGGGTCCACATTCCTCACAGTATAACCAGCTGGTGTTGAGTGACGGCCACCCCTTTAGACGGGCGTGTACTTTAGCTCACTGCCATCCCCATCCAGCCCAGCCTACTCAAAGCTGTAAGTCCCCTGCCCTAGTTGCAACTCTTGACCCGTACCTCTCCACCCCCGGGCCTCTGATCCCCTTTCCCTATGTTGTCACCTCTGAGGTCCCTCTTTGCTGCCAGCATTCTCTTCACTCTCACCCTCCACAGCCCACAGACCACAGAACTCCTTTGATAATCCCACCCAGTCCCCACCTGGTTTCCCCAATGGGTGAGGTGATCATCATTGGGCATTTCACAACGTTCTTACTAACTATCCAGAACAACGTGGTTCTGCCGGGGTCAAGACTACTCTATGACCCGTTTGTACCTCATCCACAATGAGATAAATGCTGAACCCTGAGGGTGAGCATCCAGAAACTTTTTAAGCAATGTGACACTACTGCTGCATTTGAGCATGTGATCAGAGGACAAATCTCATTGATTGGGTATAGACCAGCTGGGCATTATCAAATTCGTGTGGCAAGGAGCACACAGTGTGACTGCATGCTGATCCTGCACAGTAGTAGGACCACAAATCCATCTGTGACAGACTGGGGGAAATCCCAACAAACTGGCCCCTCACCACTGAGAGTTTGAGAAGAACTGGGCTAGAAGGCTGGGCTCCGTAATAGCCAGGCCACCTTCTCTGCCAGGCCCTGGCCCTCCCCATCCCTTCCCTTTCCATCGCTCCAGGGACTCCCCAGCTTTGCAGCAGTGTGTGGATTACCATGGCAACTGCATCCTCTGCAGAGTGATGCTAGCCAATGCAGGTGGACCCTCAGCACTGCTCAGCAAGCTTTCTTATTTCTCTTTCAAAGGATAATGGCGGGTTACATTCTAAGGGGAACACAGAAACAAAATCTTACATAATTAAGATTACTCTTGCTGGCTGTTTCTTGAGTTGAGCACCAGAAGGAAATGGCTTGCATTTAGCTCCATGTTTCCAATAGAATTAGAGCACAGTTACATGTCTACTCAGTGAGATGCAGGGGAAACTGAGGCCAATTAAGGAAAGACTAAATGCCCAGCTCCTCATATGTTCATGTTTATATGCCCACTGAAGGGCATGGCAATGTCATCGGATCCTGGAATCACTGCTCTCTATCTCCCTCTCTGTCTCTCTCCTCCTACCCCCCACATAACCAAGCACAAAGAGAGGAATTCAGACAAAAGAAAATGCCACTTCTTGGGCCGGCCCAGTGGCGCACTGGATAGTGCGCCGCTCGGGAAGTGCGGCGGCACTCCCGCCCGAGGGTTCGGATCCCA